GGCATTTCTATTGCCAGAATCGTGTTCCCCTCGCCGAGACGCGTCGAATGAACTATAATTTGACCTTGAAAGGTCAACTTGAAAATTTGACCTCAGGTCAAGGTCATGACCTGACCGGAAAAGGTCATGTTGCATATCAGTCGATGCGTCTCAACAAGACAAACACAATGAGACCATCCCCAGCGTTCTATCTCTTTCCAATCGCGAGTTATTGGCAAAAAACTGTTTGTAGCCTCAAGTGACCTCAGATGACCTGTCTAGAGGTTATCAGCAAAAATGACACCTTGGTCATCACGAGTGGACTAAATCATTGTGATTCTGAAATATTTGGACTGTTCCCATGCGTACACACGGATCTAGAGGCATTTTCATTTTTCTCCATTGCCTTATAATGGTAAGGTCACGCCACTGACCTGACCTTAGGTCACGGATATGAAAAATCCGAGATATACAAATTGTAGGCGCCCATAACATCATGCAATCCACCAAGTTTGAAACCTTTCTGACAAACACTGCAGGCTGGACATGATTGCAAACTTTTTTTTAGGCTTGGTCAGTTAACTTGACCTGGTGACCTGACCTGACATGACCTGGGGTCAAAAATTTCACACATTGTCCAAAATTGATGTACAAAAAGCTACCCCAAGCGGCGCGGCGCTACGCGCCGCGCTTTTTTATTTACACGCGAAAAACGCGACAGGGTGGTAACATATGCCCCCCCCCCCCACTGGGGCGAAGGTTAAACCGGAAGCGTCCGTTGTATCAGTTGTCTGCCGCTGACTCTTGGCCCGCTCCAATCCAAGTCCAGACTCTTCCAGTCTTAGTATCAATCATCTTGCGATGGACTGTCTGGTCCGACATTTACTGGCCGTGATCGCTCTGCCAGTGTGGACTGCTTGCCGGTGGATCACGCGTCGGCGGATCCGCGACGCGTGGTAGATATCGATTGCTCGCTTCAACCCATGCCGGATGCCTGATTATCCTACGGATGACTGCTGATGGTTGCAGTCGAGGCCAGTGGTCCTGGTTTTCATCGCTGCTTACCATCTGCGTCTGTTCCCTCGCCTTACCCCACGCTCACACCCTTACCCGGCGGCCACGTCGTGACCCGGCCCTGACGTCATCGTCGACAGCGTCGGGTCACGGCAGGTCGTCGTCGTGGTGCCGCGCCGCGGGTCGACCCACTCCTGTGTAGTGTATCGACCGGCGGTGGGGCCGGGCCCGCGGGGCCGCCGGATGGGAGTGGGACCCGCCCACGGGGGACGTGGCCGGGCCGGGCTGGACGGGGAGCGGAGACGGATTGGTGGCGTGACATGGGCTCCCGGTGGCGTGCACGACTGATAACGGAGGCTGACAGACGTCAGCGCTTTGTTCAGCGGAGAAGAAATTACGGAAGATGTTTTGGCACCACTTTTGTGAACGAAAATGGCGTATGTTTGCTAGATTCCAGCTTTGCCTGAGGTTATAAGCTCAGTGCTAGCTATTCCAATAGCCGTGTCGACCAACCCAACTGTACCAGCTGCTGAATTCGGTGCTGGCGCCCACTATTCACGGGACGTATTGTTCGGTGAGCTGCCGCTGTCAGGATTGCAGCTGCGCCGGACATTGCAGACGCGTTTTTGCTCATTGGGCTGGCGCGGCGACGGTTCCTGCACTGTTTCCGGCGCCGGTGTCCTGACCGCTGCGCGTGGGACCCGCCGCCGACCACCGCGGGCCGGTCACCGTGCGTCGGCCGCCGAGCCGCTGACGGCGCCCTGATGAATATCTGTCTCCGTGTCGGAGTGCTGCCAGCCGGCCGGCCCATTCGGCGTCTCGCCGGGCGGTGTCTGCTCCCCGTCCCCCTGTCCCCTCGCCGCCGGGTTCTGTCCCGGAGCTGTCCCATTGGCGAGCTCCTGTCCCGCCTGTCTGGATTTGCCCCCGCCCGTAGGCAGGGAGTTTTTGGTGGGGCTGCGGCATTGCGACTCCCGGAATCCGGCCCGTTTTGTCTAGGATTTATGTAACCCGTTCCACGACGGCACCATGCTAGTCCATACATCCATGCATCCATCCATACACACGTCGGAGCGCCATTAGTGACGGTCTGGGGTGTTTGATATGATCTAGTTCCAGCGTCTCCTCTCATCTCTCTCCCTTTTTCTCTATTTTCCCTCCCCTGTCATCTCTTTTCTGCTTTCTCCTCTCCTCTCCTCTCCTCTCCTCTCCTCTCCTCTCCTCTCCTCTCCTCTCCTCTCCTCTCATCTCCTCTCTCCTCTCCTCTCCTCTCCTCTCCTCTCCCTCTCCTCTCCTCTCCTCTCCTCTCCTCTCAACCCTGCTTCGCTTATTCACTCACTGGGTGCCATATTTCCACATCGGTCGCATGCTGGAGTTGCTGAGTTGCAATAACATTGTTTCGTCTTTTAATATGATGGTTTATCATCAATTTCTTTAATAAAATAGCTTATTATAACTCAACACTAGTCGGTATCTATGTATCTCGACATTGCCGGGACCAGCGCAAGCAGGATGATATTGCGCGGGCCCTGACCTTTACCGTCTGAAGAGAAATTCCGGGTTCTCGTGGGGAGCGGCCCAGAAGCCATAGTGGAGTGTGATTCTATGCCCGGACACGTTCCGCCCTTCCCACTGCCTTGTCTGGCTGTGGTTGGGCTCTGTAGCGACCGTGGATGACTCTGGCCTATGGTTACCGGTATCGAGCGACAGAGCGGCTTGAACACAAGTCCTTCAGCCTGGGAGCTGAACTTCTAACCGGGTTTGGGGACGTGGTGACCAAAGACATAGGCCTGGCGTATAGTTGATTACCGCTTTGTTCACTCTTTCGGTCGGTTGGTTCTGGCCTTATCTCGGCCACCGGACGATGCTCAGGTGAGCCTGTCCTGTGCTGCTCTGTGTCGGGATCAGCCATCGACCTGTGGGCAGGGGGAGGTGCGCCGCACTGATTGTGACTCCTGATGACGGCATTGACCCCTTCCCTCTATCCCTCTCCCCTGTGGCATCGTCTCACGTGGTCACGGGTCGAACGGGCTAGTCCGGAGCCCAATCAGCGTTCCCGTTTACATCTGTTGCTGCGAGAGGAACAGTTTGAGACGTGGCCTGTCCGAGCGGCCTAGCGGTGGTCTCGGGATGAAATTGGGTTTGAATCGGTGTTTTGGTCGTTTCATGGCAGTGTAAGTAGAGTTGCTGAATGAGATGAGATGCCGTTCTCCTCGGTGGTCGACATCGATAAGCTAGTCGGTACTTCGAAATTGTTTTATGCTATTTTACGCTATAAGAAGTACGGAAGGTCGATGCCCTCCAACGGCAGGCCCCGAGCCCTTTAACTTCTGGTGGCTTCCTTTGCCAAAGTACTCTGCTCTGAGAGTTTTCCGTCTGCCTGGGCCACCTCCGCCCAGCACGGCTCCCGTTTTGAAAATTTGCCGTGAGTGTATTACCTTTGTTTAGTGTGTCGTGCTGTTGTTGGTGTATCTCGTTGTTCGCCGGCTCCGGACTGGGGACAATCTCTGTCCCTATCGCTGTATGTAAGTCAGCCACCGCGGTACGGCTCCCCTCCCCCGTACCGTATCATACCGCATTGTTCAGGTAGTTCTGACTTCTGACAATGCTGGTTTCCTCTGAAGAACGCAGCCACCAAGGATGCTCTCTTGCCGAGGTTCGTGCGAAGATGCCTTCCGTGAAGCATGTACAATCTCGACTGTAATTGGCTTAGTTTCTTATCTCCAGAATCCACGCTAGGGCTCTTTTCCAGCAGCATTAAAGAAACTTGGCTTCGCTGTCTTATCTCCCCTGTGTTTGCATCGTCTCCGTTGATAAAACATCCACTCCTTTCCGACTTATCCCCGTGGATGGCCGCTGCTGTCGGTGCGTTTCGTCCGGCGACCCCATCCGAATATGGGCGTCGAGCTCCGAGCTGCCCGGGTTAGGGGGGAGGGGAAGGGGCAGGGGACTCCCACTAGACCAGGGCGGTGTGGCCGTCCGCCCGTGTGCTATATTAATTGGATCCCGCGCCCTGTGCCCGGCCCGCTAACGAGATTTGCGGCGATCAGTCGCATGTGTCGAGAGTGCTTGTGATGCGGATATACATCAGATGGGCTGCGGCGTGACTGACTGTGGTGCTAGGAAGCATCAGAAAAGTCGCAGATGTGGCTGGATGCTCCTGCAGATGCGTTAGATTATAATGAGCTGGGAATCGCAGCGTGTTGGCCATTAATTAACGATCGACATCGAGCACTGTCATTGGTGGTTACCGTTGGTCGTGTCGTGGGAAATCTGCCAGTCAACTCGCAGTAGATTGATAAAGTGGTTCACCGACTTCTTGATTAGACTCATGTCACCACATCTCTTATCAAAAGCAGCAACACCAACGATCCGTCGTAGGTCCGCCTCAGTTAGCTCGATGACGTTCGGTGGTTGAATTGACTGGTGGTGATGCCGTTTCTACGTTTGGTTTTTCATGTAAATGCATCTATAAGCTGCCAGAATACGAGCAATACAGAAATGTAAAACGTTGTTTTCTCCCCCTCTTCACGATTAGCTTAAATTCTGTAATGCACCTTTGCGCACCAGAGCTGACATCCCTCGGTTTCTCAGCTGCTTACCCAGCTCCCTGGAGACGTTGCACCTCGTTCTCAGCCCGGTAGCCTGCTGTTTGTACCGGGCCTCTCGACCCTGAGTGGGCCGGTGCCTGCCTCTCGCGCTGGCGCGGGGGCGTCCGGTCCAAAACCGGTTACACTCATGTGGATGCTAGACACTAGCTTCCGCATTGCACCTGCGCTGTTGATGCGATTGAGAACATAACGTTTGTCAAAGGCATGATTCGTATATGGTCGACCTGAGTGGTCCTGGCCTGGCGTCGCCTGACCTGACGTTTGCGTGTTCTTTTTTAACGTCTCGAGTGACCCTGACCTGGCGTGACCTGACCTTACCTTTATCTTGTATTTTTCACCTACCTGAGTGACCCTGACCTGGCGTGACCTGACCTGACTTGTGTCTCGTGTCTTTCACAGAGGGCGTGCCTCGGGTGCACTATTTCGGCCCGTGCGGACGCTACAACGCGCTCGTCATGGAGCTACTGGGGCCCAGTCTGGAGGACCTCTTCGACCTCTGTGATCGCAAGTTCACGTTGAAAACCGTGTTACTCATAGCCATTCAATTGGTGAGTCATTGCGCCCGTGGCAGAGAGTGTGAGTCAGACTGCAGCATATGGCTGTCTGCGTCGCTTCGCTGCGGCTTTGGCGCTGTGTTGAGTCAGAGAGGATGTTTTGGCCTGTGCTGAACCTCGTCCCTCCGTGCCTGTGAGAAATGTCTCGTCTCCGTCCTGGTGGTGTTGTGTGGGCTGAGGACCGCCACTTCTCTCTCTCTCTGCTGTCTGCTCTATCACTGACATCTTTGGTCAGGGATGTCTGTGCTGGGGTGGAGAAGTGACGGTGGGGGAAGGGGGGTGGGGCGGAGGGAGCAGTTTTGTGTAATGGGGACAGGATACCCATCATAACCGACCCACTCAGCTCTTGTTTCGCGTATACTACGGACAGAGACGGGAATTTACCCCACTATCCCGCATCCATGCACTCTCCCCGCACGAACCCAGCCTGATTAGTGGAAACTGAATCACAATCCTCACCAATCCTAGTCTTTTATTTACCCTTCACGACATTTACATCATTGACTCAGTAATCAGCGCTCCCCTCCCCGCCCTCCCTCCCGTCCCTCTCATCCGTGTATCTGACTGATGCTGTATGTATCTGTGTTTCAGTTACATAGGATAGAGTTTGTGCACTCGAAGCACCTGATTTACCGGGATGTGAAACCGGAAAACTTCCTCATAGGCCGCAGCTCGAACAAACGGGACAAGTGCATCCACATCATAGGTGCGTATCGCGGTAGCCTCCCAGAGGATCATAACGAAAGCTCCCTTGTCAAATTCCCTGTTTATTTCCTATCTGTTCACGTGGAAGTTCTAGCTGCTCAGTGCTTAGTGGTTATGGCTATTCCCAATGTCTCACCAGTCATTGCCTTGTCATGATATTGCGTATCCTCTAAATGAATTGTATAGACCAACAAGTGTGCTCGTCACCTGTCCAAGAACACTTTAACCACTTGTGTTGTGTCGTAACGTCGCGTGGTGTTGGTGTCTATGTGGCCAGATTTCGGTTTAGCGAAGGAGTACATAGACCCGGAGACTCACCGGCATATACCGTACCGGGAGAACAAGAGTCTGACGGGCACCGCGCGCTACATGAGCATCAACACCCACCTCGGAAAAGGTGAGAACGCTGGTGAACTTGATTGCTTGTAAAGGTGAGATATCTGACGATTGCATGGTCGGCGAAGGTGAGAACTGAGAACGCTGAGTGACTTCCAGGCTGGCGTTACGTCTAACGCAGAACGACGAAGAGGAAATGATCGGATCTTTCTGAATTGTCTGTATCTTTTGCTTTTATCACGTCTGTGCTCTATAATATGAATCTAGTTTATCTGGGTTGTGACTCACTAGCCCGTCAATGGCTTGGCTTACCTTGACATTCGTCCCACGCCATGTCAGCCCGGCTGACCTGCGTCCCTTTCTGTCGTCTTTCAGAGCAGAGTCGGCGAGACGACCTGGAGGCGCTGGGCCACATGTTCATGTACTTCCTGCGCGGCAGCCTGCCCTGGCAGGGTCTCCAGGCAGAGACACTCAAAGAGCGCTACCAGAAGATCGGCGACACCAAGCGGGCCACGCCCGTCGAGGTGCTCTGCGAAAACTACCCAGGTGAGAGCGTGGTAGAGGAGTGTCGGTGGATTGTTCAGGAATTATTACTGTAAGAAGGGCTAAATTTGGCATTTAATCTGTAAAGAATCCTCAGAGTGGTGATAGTTTGCAAAATGACGCCCAGAATTAAAGCTGTCGTTGGAAGCATAAGGCTTTCAATCTCGAATCTTGACACGTTTGGGTGCCATCGCGGTCCTTCCAAGGCACCGGATTTAGAACCGAGTACCTAGCACACTTGAGCTCTGAGAAGTGTAACAGCGCTGAGTATTTTGCGAGGAATGTCACGGCAAAAACAAGGCTGTTTCTGGGTCAGACGCGTTCCGATATGCCGTGCTATCTTGTCTGAAATCCACCTGTACTTGACGGCGCTGATCTTACATGGCCACGGCTGATTATTGATCAGATATCGGCTATGTTATTCAGTCTGAATCATCCTATACCTGCCTTGACGAGGTCGTGGGGCTACCTTGAGTGCTAGAGAGGGAAGTTAAGCCGATAGCCCGTCTGAGGAGGCAGGCCGTGCGTCATTGCAGCCCTCGAGTCAGGTGCCTCAGTCGCTAGTGATGACGTCATTGGGTTTAGCAGGAACGGCAGCTCGGAATGGTTATTGTTATGATATATTCATGGTGAGGGTAGGGTAGGGAGGCAGGGGCACACCAGCTGCTACCCGTAATGGCGTGCTGCTTGGGTTGTTTGAAGTGGTACCGTGCTACAGCTGCTGCACTTTGTGTAGCCCCTCATGCCTCAGTCATGGGCTCGACAACCGTGGACGTGTCTGTCGCTGATTATGTTGATTTCTTCGCTTTTGCGACCTAAATAGAGGGAAGGCTTGAAATGTGCAGCTGTGCCGTGACTGTATGCAGAAGACACTTGAGAGCCGTCGGCCCGCCTCCCGCATCATCTAACTCTAGCTCGTCACCAACACCACTGCCTACCACTGAGCTACCACACCTTCCAGGGCGTTCAAAGAGTTCGTTCGGTGGTGTCGGGGTACGGCATTACCTCCCCCCCCCCCCCCCCACACTGATCTCTAGTACACCTGACACGTCGTGCTACACGAGCTCGGTGGCTCCATCTACCAGTAGACACCGATAGGGAGGATCTCCGTCCCCTGAGACCGATGATACTATATCAGTGAACTCAGTGCCGGGCTGAGCTCGGACGTGAAGTTAATTCTGACCGGGGCGTGGCGGCGCCCGTGGTATGTTGACGAGCCGGTTGCCATGACAACGGTGGGGCTCGGGTCGTTGGTTGATAATGTGATGCGGGTTCGACGCAGTGTCATTGGCGGTGACGGGGGATTTGATCGCCCCCGGGGGGTCGGTCGACACGCTGATGGGCCATTATTCAGGGTTGAGGAGCGATGCTGCTGACAGGTTGAAGTGAAATCTGGCTTTGCATAGGTCACTTGCAAGTGAAGATCTGATGCAAGATTGCTAAGCGAGATTCAAGGTATAAAACCGATGCGTGTCATGTCGGAGATTCAGGTAAAGATTGACAGATCCAGACTGGAATACACGTCTCAGCTCAGTCATGTACGTACTTGTAGCGCCCTTTATTGGAAGGGTAAACAACGATACACGAGGGCACGAGGATGGGCGGGGATTGCTGCCACGGCTACCTGTCGGAACGCTGTGGTCGATTCCGGGGCAGGGCGGAACACGAACCCTATTCCTACCCAGTGGAAGAAGGGATCGCTGCACCACCAAGAGGGGAGTGAACTGGCCCTCGCCCCTCGGTTAGGGGATGAGTTGCATTTATGTGGGTAAGCGTGTAATGTAGCCAAAATGGTTTCAAATCGATGCATGATACAAAATGCAGGGCGTACTATTATTGTAAGGATTGAATGTTGTTGATTGACCGATCAATCAAATTGATGAAATTTGAGAATTGAGGAAGAGCGATATTTGTGATACGTGGATTAGTGTTTGTGTCTAGTTTCTTATTTGGGGAAGCTAGCATGCCCAACTGGTGGCAAGGCCATTGTTGGAAAATGACCGCGCACTGCGCAGCCGACACTGATGAGCACTCTTGGATAATACTTACACAATGTCACGTCTCTCACGCCAAAATGAAGATGGATTAGGGCTTATCATGAAAGGAAGTGCCGTCCCTCAACAGGAAGGGTGGGCTAAATTTAATTTCACCGGCGCCTAAGAATTCTGTCTCGAGCTATTTCGAGCATCTTAGCCGCGAAGTGCTCACTTAGAGCCAATTTTCTTCTGTGAAACACTGATTGCTGCGATCATTTTGCGGAGCTGCGATTCAGCCTAATCTGACGTCTCCTTTGTGTGTTGGCGGCCCTTTCAGTCGCCGTGCTCATTTAGTAGACTGGTCTGTCGCGGAGCGACTGAACCGAAATCGATGTGACCTTTTCAGCCTCTCGGCCACCGCTGATCCATGAACGTAGAGTCCTTGGCCTTGGTCGTATAAAGCACTTGGGCCGGATAAGCCAGCACAATCCGCTCCAAATGCCAAGCGCCGCTGGCGGTCTATACTTCACTGTAATGCGTGAGTCGAGTGCTGATCAATAGCAGTGCAGATGATATTTGCTGCTGAAGTTGCCACGCTCTGGCCTGTCGCCGAGATGATTGGATGCCAGACGGTTATTACATTGCACTGTGTATGATGGATAGATAGGTGCCTCCCCGGGTATATCGATGTGGGATTTGTCTTGTACTTTGGATGAATACCGTTATTATGTAAACCTTTTCTAATAAGCGTTCAATATGGGACAATAAATAGTAAAACAGCAGAATAATTATTGGACTCTGAAATTACTAAGCTCACCACTACCCTCGCATATACTAGAATGGGCAGGTGCTAATCAACTTAAGATGACCGCGTTTTTCTCACTGATCTGTCTGTCCTGTGGCTTGTTCGTAACTTCCACGGTCCGCTGTCTATCCACAGAGGAGATGGCTGCCTACCTGCGCTACGTGCGGCGGTTGGACTTTTTCGAGACGCCCGACTACGATCACCTGAGGAAGCAGTTCCAGGACCTGTTCGACCGCAAGGGTTACGTGGACGATGGCGAGTTCGATTGGACGGGACGCACCATGGTAAGTTATCAGCGGTAAGGTGTCGATGTGCGCGATTTTTCTATAGCGCCTTACGTAACACGCAGTTAATTTCCGTGTCCGGCTGATGCGCGCAGCTCGCGCGCTGCAATATTCACTACTGCGTGCCGTGTCAATGTCGCGTTCCATCAGCAGTATTGAGGTGCAAATGTCGGAGCTGTGGGGGACACGCTTCTGCGCCGGCAGCGGTGACGCTTTGAGTCTCCTCCGGAAGCCGCGCTCGCCGCCGAGGTGTCCGCTGGCGCATAGGGCGGCTGTGGGGACTGTTTTGAATTACTCTGTTGAGTGTGGCACACTCTAAGTGACGGATGCCTTTTTTGTGAGCAGCACGATGATCTTTTGGAGAATATGAAAGTGCTGAAGCACGCGCTTCCTTCGGATATTATTAAAACTAAGTCGATGAAGGTCAGTAAGTGGTAGCTGCCCTTATTGTAGGTCCAGCACAGTTAGTTGCTGAATAGGCACCGAGAGAAAACCTTTCCAAGTCTCCGCACATGCCCAGCGACAAGGTAGTTACTAGTTGGTATCCTTATGCCTTCATACGCTCTGGACTTTCGCATTTGCTGCCTGGGGGCAGTGCTATAAAGTTTGACAGATTTTCGGACACCTCAAAGCTAAATTTGTTTGTGATCGTTGTTGGGTACACTAATCAGTCCAATCATGACCATCTGACCATCTGTGGCAGTTGACAGGCCAGTGTGGCTGTTTGCTTTGTTGTTAGTGTGTTTGTCATGCATATCAAACGGCTAGAGAGATAAAAGTCGCAGGTGTCCGGATAGTCCGCACCGTATCACGCAGAAAATATTACACTGCCGCAGAAAAAGTTCATACAACTGTGTGCCATACCTTCCATACCTATGTGATTTAGACGTATTCCCTATTACTTACGTTCGCACCGAAGCATCGGTCTCAAAATGCCTATAGAGTAAATAGCAGATCCTTTCGCTACCTTTCACCTGCCGTCGTCTCACTTCCTCGTCTGTCTTGTTCTAGGCTCGCAAGCTACGTCGTCTGCGAGCTTTGCCCAAGTAGCATCCAGTATTTCTGGCTGTTGGTCCGACCCGCGCTGCCTTGACCCGACCTGACCCGACCTGACCTGGCCTGACCTGTCTCCCTGCTGCTGACCCGGCGCTGTCTCCGACTGTGACCGTTTCTTCCGTCCGTCCTCTGCTTCTCCGCTGGCCTCTGTCTTCTCTCATCCTGTCTCCCAGTGCGTGAGTGACACGGGTCGCTTCTAAACCACTTTCCTTGATGCTGAATGATGACGGCGTTGCTCCGTAGTCCCTATTTTGCTACACTACTCTTTATTTGTTTTAGACATCTTGCTGTAGAAGCTCACTCATCAGCAGTTTATGATTGAAGGTAGTATTGTATCTGAAAGTGGATAAGATTGTGACATATTGGTATACATGCAGCGCTTATTTTCGCCTATTCTGTCCATACCTGTTACCAACAATTAAATGGGCTGGCCTTTTATCCATGTTACCGTGCTTGTCCGGAGCTGCACATATACTCGACGCCTATCCATTTTCTTCTGCCCGTTCTCTGTTCTGTCTGTGCCTTTTGTTTCACCGTGGCTCGCAAAATAACGTAACGTTGCCTCTGGATGCCAAGGCCGTGTAACGCTCGGCTGCCGCCAGTATACCTAACATCTCTTCATTGTTTTCTACCACAGACGAGAGGTCAGTGCTAAACCGATGGGTGACCGGGTACGAGTCAGTGCCAGTGTTTGACCTCTATGTGAACTATATTGTTTCTTCATTAGACAAACACTATTGTTTGACTTACATACACTATTGGTACATACACTATTGGTACGTGTATTACATACACTTACACTATTGGTACTGGTTGACTTATATGTGACCCGCGTGTGCCCATCTGTCTGCAGTCGACGCCGGTGGGCTCCCTCCAGACGGCTACCGAGGTGGTGGTGTCCCCGACTCGCGAGAGGCATCCGGCCACCAACAAGGTACGAACACCGGCGGATGGTCCCTCCGGCGCAGCGTGTGCCGCTGCACCGCCCGCCCTACTCACGGAGTTCGACATCGCACCGGCACTCACACCTGTGTCTGTCTGTCGTCTGTCTCTTTCACCGTCTGTCCGTCTGACCTATTTTTATGACCTCTGACCTATTTTATGTATCACGAGCTATCTGCTTTTTCTTGCTAACGCTTCAGCCTTCCTATTTACTAACTCTTTTCTTGTTTCATCTTCCAAACTTCTGCTTTCCTGGAATATTTTCTTTTCGTCCTCCTTGCAATTCTCTTAAACTCAAAGTCAAGGGTATTGAGATTAATTCGGTGGTCTATGTCAAAAATCACCGCGCCTGATCTGTATCAGCACTAAGAGCATTTATTCAATGACCTGGGGAGGGTGGCTTTACGTTACCATGGGGCGCTGTTTGCCGTTGCTCCGTTGTTCGGCCACCGTGACTGTAGCGCACAGCGCACCGCCTGACCCCACTGTTCGATGGCCGGCCTGTGTCCGCGCCGCACCGTCCCCCCTCCCCTCATGTGTCCGTGGCGGCTGCCTGCCTGCTCGCGCCGTGGCCGGCTGTCACCGTGTCTGGCTTTGGCTGCGCGCCGCCGCACGTGCTCACGGGGCTGGCGCGGTGCTCTGCAGGGTAGCAAAGCTCCGTCGGCCTGGCCGGAGGGGCAGCGGACCATCAACACCACGCTGGGCAGCACGCTGACGCCGGCTGACCGGCACGGCTCCGTCCAGGCGAGTAGACAGGGGCGACCTGACCTGGCTGACCCGGCCCGGTCTGATAAACTGAGCCTGGTCCCGATCTGACCTGAGATGACCCGACCCAAACCTTACCCGTCCTGTCGGATATATAACCCAGCCTGACACCCGAACCTGGCCTGTCCCGGCCCGTCAGAACTTGCCCCCGACCTGTCCTGAGCTAAGCCAACCTGACATCTGGCCCGGCCCTAACCTGTCCTTGCCTGATATCTGACTCAGAAGGACCGACCTGACCCGATTGTTCTCAGCTGGCCCCAACATAACCGCAATCCGTGCTGACATAATCCGACCTGGTGATTGGGAACAATCATTAGTCATTACCCAGATATAACCCGACTCGCTTTTACCTCGTCCGACCCGACATCACACCCCGACCCGAGCTGCTAGCAATGGGCGCGTAATAAGTTCACAAATGATTCAGCCCCGACTAACCCAACTAACTCGCTAAGCTGGCTGATGCTGCCAATGTGCCGCGACCGGGAGGCGTCCGTCCGACTCCGCTGGAGGACGCTAGTGTATCGAGAGGTGACTGATGATGAGCATTTGTCTGCTGTGTGATAAATGCGCTTCCTGCCTCGTTTTGCTTAGTGTCGAGCGCTGACGTGTTTCTCGAAGTTCTGGCTGTATGATATTTGTCTGGTGTGATTAATATCGGAGTGAACTAATATTTCTTTCGGTTTATGTTGAGTCCAACTTCACTGTCATTTTGACTGTTTTCTGTTTGTGCCTTACTTTTTATTTGAAAAAAAAAACACTACAGGCTTTGTGCGATGGAAGTAACCATGGCTTGTGTCCTATCCATCCTGAAACTGACCCTTATACATACAAAACTGATATGCCTGCTTGAATGGGGTCACGATGCGATCATAGTTGATCGAATTTGATCAAACTTGATCCAGTGTCAATCAGCCTGTTGTCTGTTCTAACTAGGAAGTCGAGTTATTGTCTGATTTTCTATCCAGTGCAGCCATTTACCTTTCTAGCCCTACTCTTACTCGTCCCTAACGCGATCCTTATTCATATCTAAATGCAATCTACATCTAAATTGTGAGTAGCGAAATTGTAGTAGCTACTTTCACCCTCACTCGGTCCTCACTCATCCCTATTTCATTTCGCTCCTGGTTACTCCCCTAACTCCTTTTTAGCTCGCTGCTAACTGTACCTGTTCGGTTTGCTCCGAATTTTCCTCCTTACCCTGCCTGTTCTAACTCTTTCCTAATTGGACCTTAGCTCGTCCATGATTGCTCCCTTAGCTCTACCCTAGCTCGCCGCTAACCATGCCCGTTCTGTCCGTGTCACAGGTGATGAGCTCTGCGAACGGCGAGCTGGGCCCGGACGACCCGACTGCCGGCCAGAGCATCACACCCATCACCGCCCAGCCAGACGTGGACGTCGTCGACGAGACCAAGTACGGAACGGGGAGAGAGGGAGGGAGGGAGGGGAAGGAGGGAGGTGGCCTGGGACAAGGAATAGAGGAGAAAACCAATGAGCAGCTGGAAGGGGCAAAGAGGCTCGAGATGAGGGCGTGAGATCGAGAAGCTTTTGCTAAACGCTGTTATAATTGGGTAGTGAGTATTATGAAATGCTGGCTCGTAAGTTGGAAGGGGACGGTTTGGTCCAAAGTCGGAAGTAACTTTGTGCATGTTGCTAATTAGCTGTTTTGGAGGTGGCAGGGTAGTTGATCTCCGGCCATCTTCACGTGCTGGATATTTATGCCACACGACGTTCCTTCTGCACACGAGATCTAACGATTGTACCCTCCCCCGATGTGTTCCCAGGTGCTGCTGCTTCTTCAAGCGGCGAAGAAAGAAGTCTCGCGGCCAGAAGTGACGTCTGCCGTGGTGCGAGCGGCGAGCGGGCGCCCGCGTGGGACTGCTGCCGGCCGACTCAGAGGACTGACTCTGAGTCGCTGCGGGTGACTCCTGAGTCTCTGTTAATGACTCAGACGGTGGAGAGTCGCCCGGTGGCAGCGAGAGTCGTCCGCCGTCCCGGCACCGTCCGCGCCTCTCTCGAGTCCCGCCGCTCTACAGGCAGTACGCTGAGTCAGTCAGACCCATAGCCGACTCCGAGTGGCCGTCCGCTCCGACTGCGGACCCGGCGGTGACCTGCGCGCCGCGCGGCGGCCGTGTGTACCTGACGGATAGCTCGCCGGACGGACAGGTGGCGTCCCAGTAAAGCACCTGACCTCGCTGCGATGGCCGCCGCGGACGGTCACAGACGGGTGCCGCGTGCGTCTCCCCGAGTGGATGTTTTAGTGCGGCGCGGCGGTGGTCGTCGGGTGATCGTTTGGAGGTGTCAGAGACGTTTTGGAGTCGGTGACAGGAGCTGGCGCGGACGCCGCGGTCATGTTGGGCGGCTGGTAATCTGAGCCGCGTGGACTGGTGTGAGAGCCGTGTTAGAGTCGCGGTGAGAGCCGGTGAGAGTCGTGGTGACAGCGACGGCCGGTCGGTGAGAGGCCAGGCAGCTGGGCAGGCGGGTCGCCGTACCGCCAGAGCTAACCGAGAGACAACACGAGCGGCAGAGAGCGTGTTTCGAGGACGGCGCAGTGTGTGTAGCCCGGGTCAGCTGCTGTGGACGGATGGTAGTCCGGGCGGATGACCTCTGACGTGTGTGAGTGGCGACCTTTGACCTCACTATTGGCGGCGCGCAGCGGGCGGCCGCCGCGCCGACCTCCGGTAGAGAGAGCCTCGGTTCAGTTGAGAGCGGAGCGGCGCCCAGAGTCGCCCGCGTATGTTACTGTTTGTTGCCCCTACTGTGGTGAGTGCCATTGTATTTGTACGTATCCCCAGACACGACCGTGATTTTATTTAATTATGAATAAAGTGCGTCAACGATTTTAATGATCTCTGCCTTGCTGGTATATTGTTTGATGAAATACTGAAGATGGGGCTGCTAAGGAGTGCAGATGACGCGGTTGACGATAGAGGGCATTTATTTCGTTTCATAGCCCTGCGGATCTGTACCAATTGAATGTTGGACGCTTGAGCCAAGCTGCTGCGCGCCCTAACTCTTCAACAATAACAACAACAACCAATTGAATGGATAAGAACGAGTGTCTGTGCGCCGCGGCGGCAGAGGTGGTCCCGGCGGGACGGGAATGTCCCGATGGAACAGCCCGCGCTTGCGCTGCCGCTCAAACGGTCACCCCGGAGAGGGCGTAGTCCAACGAGGTCTTGTCCACACCACCGGTTGTCGGGTGGGAGTGCCCGGAAAGGAAAGCGGGAGGATGGCAAGAATGGATTATAAAAATAAAACAACAACGGAACAAACTAACATGACCCCGCTAAGTGAGATATGCCTAAAGAAGCGTCATCCAGTCTCAGAAAGGCTGATAGCGCAAATTATTCACAACAAATTCGGACAAAATCCTTATCACGAGTGTTTCAAAATAGTTTCGAGTAACGGCTTGAATTAAACATGCGAACTTCAGCGACGCTCCCGCGAACCGGCTGAATTTTATTGCGCGTGGCATGGTTCGGCGGCGATATTGGGCGTCACAACTCACAAATATAGCGGTCTGAATCAGTCTAATATAATGAATAACCCCTCCCCTTAGATGTCGCTGGGCTCATAGTGCTTGTAGGTGTCGCCACTGCTGCACTATTCTCTCGTTTTGTAGCCGCGCCTTCCACCACAGGGCGGGCGGCGCTGGCTGCGGTCAGCTGACTACGTTCGGCCGTACCGCCCCTCCCCCTCCCCCAGCCCAGCTAGCGGCTCGCGGCGGCCGCGGCCGCGGCACACGGCAGTGACTGGGGAGTGGGGCGCTCGGTGGGAGGCGACGGACCGCCGCTCGTACCGTTGTGTTGTGGCCGCCGCGGCGGCGGCGTGACCTCGCGACCTGCGGAACGTCGGCAGCCATGGAGTTTCGCACAGATCCGTTCGAGAACTTCTACGAGGTGTTTGAAGAGATCGGCACGTAAGTACCCTCGAATCGTAGCCCCAAGACTGGTCGGTTGGGCTGGTTCAACTTGTTGTGGTGCGTGTTTTTGCTGCGATAGCCGTTAGCTGCACGTGGCGAGGCAACCTCAGCGGTGAGGCGGTTATTGAAGCAAATGTCAGTGGCAGGGTGTTCGTTCGTGTTGGCCGTCGAATTTCACCGTCTTTGTCCCCGCCGCATGCTGGCCTACATCCTCCGGTATCGTGCTAGACGGATTTGTTTTTGAAGAAGCGTTTAGCCGATTTCTCGATGCTTGTTACCTTTTCGCGTGACTGGCAGTTCTATCCATCTAGCTGTCAAATCCGTGATTGCTCATTTCCCTTCGTAAACCAAGTACCTACGTCCTACAATATATTTCCTTATCAACGCACAAATTATGCGAATTATCTACGCCGTGTGTCCCGCACATCGCTAATTAGTCCAAATCTGCTTGTAGTCTCCCAAGCTGTTGGAACACTCCATTTCTATCTGTATGTCATCTCAGCGGCAGCATGTATCTCGGTGACCCGGCCGGTCGGTCCGCCCCCCCCCCCCCCTCCCCCTCCTCTGATGCAGGGGTGACTGACCCACCCCGCCCGGCCGGCCGGCCCGAACGGCAGGTCGTGCAGAGGCGTCTTCGTTATGTCGGGGGAGGTAGCCACGCGTCTGGCGATGTGCCAGAAGTGGACAGATCACAGGCGTGGTCATTGCACGGAGACGGTGTGGCGTAATTGGGGTGCGGTACCGAGTGTTAGGAGTGATTGAGAGTGCTCACCATCCTCCCCCCCCCCCCCCCCAGCTTCTATTGGTAGTCATTCGTACCTACACCTACGATTTACCTGGTTATCTTATCTTACCCGGTTGGGCTCCCTGAGTCGTACTAGGATTGATTCAGGGATAGTCCGGGTTGGGAGAAACCCAAGATATGAGACTCGCCTCAAGCAACCCAAGATACTGAGAGGCGAGAGCCCAAGATAGGAGATGCCACGGGCTGCTTATAGTGACACCCGATAAGATATAGAGGATTCTTCATGGCTCCGAGTGGAAGATAAGGATATCTTTTCCAAGCGGGTTAAAAAACCGAGCGACGAAGGAGCGAGGTTTTTCTGTAACACGCGAGGAATATCCGATCTTCCACGAGTGAGCCATGAGGAATCCTATATCTTTCTATGTTGAGGTTATTCTTAATTAATTCAATATTATATTTAAATGTATTCATCTATGTAAAAAAAGATTTAGAGTAGCTTGTTTTTATTTCATAAGTTTCATACATAAACAGCCATTAAAAATGCCGTTCGGTTATTGACCCATCATCAGTTGAACTCTTGATTTTTGGCTATGAAACCTCGAGACCTTATCTTTGCATCTCAGAGAGATGCAGAGATTATCTTTGCACCTCAGAGGAGTGCGAGATAGAAATATCCCTGCACTGTAGACCCAATGGCAAATAAACCTCAACAAGAAAGATAACCAATGGCACGGCTACCAATTACCATAAATAAATTTGTAGTTCGTACACAGATAGGCATATGTTCAAGGCAAAAATACATACGCAAACACAGTACAGATAGGGTAAAAGAGACTTTCACCGTGTCTCCTTTCCACTTTCCAGCCTCTTCATAAGGGACAATATCTAAGTTCAGTGCGGATATTGCGTGTTCGGGCTCAATGCGCCCTCCCGTATTCCTGTTGGAACGGATGCATTCCCGTCTAACTAATTCACACGCGCAGCCTAATGAATGGTTATGAAAAGAGAAAATCGATACTTTCTACCATGCTGTCACTACATTGACATGATTGCGATTCGTTCATTTGTTACATGGCCGACACATTTGTGACATGCTAGACACGCAGACTCGGAGATACGGAGAAACCACCCATCGCTCGACGTTTGGACGGCCCGACAGATTTTTAATTACGTCCTGGGAATCCTGGACGTAATTGTACTGGAAACTGACTAGATGATTCGCGCTGTTGGCTGGTGCGTATGGTAGCGAGTGGCGCTCGTAGAGGTGATCATATTGCCAATCCATATTTTTCATTTGATTTGGTTTACTCCTAAGTTGGAAGCCATATATATTAGGTAAGCTCAGAATTAAGCACACGGGCGCAGTACCTAATATGTATTCTGAAATGTCATTTATTACTGTCTCATTATAATGGCAACATGTCATATTGTGTATGCATATTTATACTTTAAAATTATTTACACAAGCTCTCTGATTTCTGAATAAACGTGGCAAACGGAGTAAGTTACCTATGGGAGAAGTGACCGCCCCTAAGCACAAGTCAAACACGAATGCAAACCTATACTCGGCCCCTAAGCGTGACTTTGAGGAGGCACGTTAGTTCAAGTGGAATTGCTAGATCGGGACGTGCCTACAAATCTACACAGTCGCGTGCTATCGACGTTTTGACTTTTGTAACAGAAAGTCGCCGCTGATCATAATAACTAGGTATACGAGAAGCGTTCTAAATAAGACAGCGTCGACAGGGGTAACAACAGGTCGGCAAACGTGCGCTAAGAGTGTGTGTTAGACATAGCGGTCGCACCCCGGACAAAGGGATGTCCGTGGCCCGTGACCTTTTCAGAGGTCATTACAGGCGGATAGTTCGGTCACGTGATCCATGATAGAGTGATGGTTGATGACTGAGTTCTTGAGACGAGACTTCCGCTTGCTGCTTCCGCTTTGTCGTAAAATTTGAACGTTTTGTTGAAAAGTTTGAAAGTGGTCGATGCAAGTTTTGCCCATGATAAAGCAATAGAACGACGTCATTCATTGCGACTCCTACCCAAGGCTGTCGAATATGAAAGGCTAAGCCGAGTACATAGCAACAGCGCTTATTTCGAACTGTATCTGATAAAGTTAAATCCGTTTCTTATGTTTTGTTCTAACTTCGCGCAGCCTTACAGGCTTCGGACGAAAAAAGGGCACTAAACGGACCAATGCCCATTTTCTCTGCTGAATGTTGGACTGCAGAGCTGACCAATGCTACCCGGTGACTGCCGGCTGCTTCGGCACCTCTGGTAACTGCTGGTTACTCTGGTTCCTCTCTGGTAATTGCTGGCTACTTGGGTTCCTCTGCTAATTGGTGGCCACCTGAGCCGCTGCCGGTGATCGCAGCAGCTGCTGTCCGCCAGTCGGGAGCTTCGGGTGCTGCTCCGAACCGAACCGGTTAGCAGTAATCCATTCACCCCGACACCTACGGCGCACTTGGCAAGGCCGAGCGGAGCGGTCGCTCGCTTTGTTACAAAGACAAACTTAGAGTGATTGGTGTACGGTAGACCGCGTTCTCGAGTAAAACGCTTCTGTGACGCTTTATCTGGAAGCACTAGCTTTTCGACAAGATTAAGGACTAAACTTACAAGCATTATGGATAAACCCGTCTTTGCAATAGTTGGATTGAAAGTTGTTCATAATAAAGCACTGGATGCAGGTGTATTCTGTCGTTTAGGTATTGCAAGACGCTCTGCCAGCGCTTAAATCTGTTCACTCGACAGCTTTCATAAGACGTCTTTCACAATATTGCCGCGATTCGTTTTGTGAGCACATGACAATGAACGTAACTGAACAGCATTTGATTCACAACATAACCATTGCGCCACGAAATTCTCCTACCAAATTAGTTCTCTGTGTTTCACCCACTGTGACTATTTTTTGCGATCCGTTTACCTGTCGAGGTGTGCTCGCTCACTGCAGCCACAGAACAGAGACCATTGTACGGTAACCGGACACGTCGCTCCCCCGACCGCCGACGAGCCATGTTCCGAATACCGGCACGCCAGTCGACTGGCCCATACGAGGAAAGGGACGCTTCATTCGACAAATGACAGACGGACAGCGGGCCCCCAGACCAGACGTACCGGCGCTTCCACAAGAATGCAACCAGACCACAGTGATGCAAATGGGGTTCACGAATGGCCATAAATACCCAAAAGTCAAGTTTACCAAATTGAGTTAATTGCGATATGGCCGAGTAGACACATGTTTGGGGCATCTGAAATCACATGGTTTTCATGTTTTTGTCAAAACCTGCCTCGTGTATAATCGTCAGAAGTTGTGACATTTTCTAGGTCGTAAAATGACGGTCAGACACTCGCAAGTTCAAACGCCGCTGGTTTGCGTTCATTTCGTACAAATTGAAAAAATTATGCATGAGAAAGTTCCCCAAAGCCTTCTGCTTCTAATGCCGGGTCACAAAAAGCCGTATCTCATTCGCTTTGGCGGTAATCTGACTATTTATCATCATGTTGCAATCGCAGTTTTTTACTAAGAAAAAAATGCTTCCGTTTCACCTACAGCACTTAACACAGTGTGTGCCCGTTAGTCCACCATAACATAGCCTTCCCTAATCATTTCTGAGTCGCATCGTTAAAGAATTAAGGCGCTAGCACAGGGCTGACCGGCGCTACAGAGGTTTTTGTCCGGGCGGTCGGGTGCCGCAGTGGGCGCGCAGTGGGCGAGTGGGTGCCGCCGCGCGGCGTCCGGGCGGCCGCCCCGGGCCGCCCGCTGCGCCGCGGCACCCGACTGTGCCGGACCATGGATGAAGTACTCCTGGATAGGACACTCCCTATTCCCCAACACTAGCGCCGGCGACCAAGCGGCCGCCCTGGTGGCGGAGCTCCGAAACATCGGCGGCGAGTGCGCCGGCGGCCGCTGCACCGGCTTGCGTGCTAAAAACGCGGTAATGGAGGGCGAAATTAGCGAACTTTAGCTCATAAGACACAATTTCAGACACTTTAAACATAATTTTTAGTCCTTTCTTATCATTATTATGGCTCCATTTAGTCACTATCACATACGGAATCATTACCTGATGCCCATAAACTGAGCCGGTATTCTTGACTTGCCGATGCAATTTATCATCAAATATCATCGTTCCTCGGCAGTCAAACAAGTTCCTATTGATGATTTAATACAAATATCAACTTATTTTCATGTTATAGCATAAAACTTAGCTTTATTCTAACATTAGCTCTTCGGCTGTAATCACGAACCCTCACTTGTCAGCAGAATTTAAGCAACTTCTTAAATCAAAACTGGGAAAAGAATATTTCCATGACATTCCTGAATTCCTGTTCTACCAGGTTCACAAAAATTTTCATCAAAATCGGTTATAGGTAAGTAATAAACGACAAAAGTATACCAAAAGACACGCTCCGCCCATAGCCCGCAATGCTAAAATGGCGCCAGCGCCCTCGCCGTCGGGAAATCCGCCGCCGCCGCCGGGTGGTCGGAAAATCGGCGGAGTGTCCCATCCAGGAATACCTAATCCATGGCCGGACGAAAACTTCTGTAGCGCCGGTCAGCCCTGTGCTAGCGCCTTAATTCTTTCACGATGCGACTCAGAAATGATTAGGGAATGCTATGATAATGTGCACTAACGGGCACACACTGTGTGAAGTGCTGTAGGTGAATTGAAAGCAAATATTTTTGGTAAAAAACTGCGGTTGCAACATGATTACAAATAGTTAGCTCACCGTCAAACCAAAATAGATACGGCTTTTTATGACGTGGCATTAGAAGCAGCAGGTTTCGGGGATCATTTTCATGTATAATTTTTGCAGTTTGTATGACATGCACGCACGCTAGCGGCACTTGAATTTCAAGTACCTGACAGTCATTTTTACGACATCGAAAATGTCTGGACTTCTGACAATCCTACACGAGGCCGGTTTTGACAAAAACAATAAAATCATACTTTTTCAGACACCCCAAACATTTGCCTGACTGACCATATTACGATTTATTCGATTAAGTGAACTTGAATTTTGGGCCTTTTTCGTATTTATGGCCACTCGTGAACCCCATTTGCATCACTGTGCAGACGGCACTCAGCCCGTGGTTAACCGTATCGTCGGGATGGGGATGTCAGATATTCAGTTTCCGTTATTCAAGTTCTTTGTATGGTATGTGGTGACATTTTCATAAGGAACGCCGTTTGGTACGACGTCATGCGGACGTTTCTTCAACGCGTATTCATTCTTTATGCCAGGACAGACTGACCCAAACCTATCAATCCGTGGTACATTTCCGCCACACCTTTCCATCGGATGTCTGGAATGAATATTGCAAAATATGTATCAAAGAAATGTATTATTTTGATGTGCCCAGCGAGCATATGATGTTTTTTTCAAACCAATGCACCATTACTTTTTGCCTTTAGAATATGAAACGATGGTTTTCGCTCATTTTTTGTGGCTGTACAGTAAAATGAGTGCTGTTACAGGTAGTTTTAAATTAAAACTTTTAATGCATATTTGCACAATTAATTACCTGAGCGACGCACGTAAAAATAAATATTTTGCATCCGAAACCCTCCCCTATAATGGTGAGGGGTAACCACGCTGACCGCAAACTGGCTGTGTGACTCGCTTGTCTACAGTTCCCATGTGAATCAGTTAGCGTGGTCTACTCTGGCCTGTTGACAGCCAAGCCTTTAATTGGTGACGTCCATGAACTTCTGACGGCTGGTGGTCCTGCTGGCCTTAGCTGCTCTCTCACAGCTCGTCTCGGCTTCCCTCTCGCGACTGACCGCGACTCACCATATCACCACGTGACCCCTGACCTCTGCTAACCCTCGATGACCTCAGCTGAACCTCACAGCTAACCCTCTCCCCCTTATACCGACCCCGCTGACCGCTGCCCCCCCCCCGTCTCCGACCAGGGGTCAGCATGCCGTGGTGCGTCGGTGCCGATGCAAGGTCTCGGCCGCCGAGTTTGCCGCCAAGTTTATCCGGAAGCGACGCGTGGCCACGTCGCGCCGCGGCGTGCCGCTGTCGGACATCAGACAGGAGGTGCACCTGCTCTCGGAGATGTCGCACGAGAACGTCATCAGCTGCCACGAGGTGTACGACAACGACACTACGGTCATCCTCGTCCTGGAGCTGTGAGTACCGAGACTTATGGAGAGTTTGCTAGTAACTTGGCTGGTAACTGGCTTATTACCGGCCAATCCATATTAGAGTTGGTGTGTCTGTGAGCTCTGGGATCACAGGATGTTGGTAATGTTGATAATGTTGGTAATGTATATGTCAGTAACGAGCAGTGCAGCCTGCAGAGTAGCTCCACAATTCACACATTCAGAGGAGGCAGCAACATGAACGCTCGGAAGCAATACGAGTCAGATACAGCCGGGGGGGGGGGGGGGGGGGGGGCGTGGAGTGATCCAATGCATGCGACGCAGGTCATCTGGCTCATGAGAAATGCTTCAGCAATGCGCTCGGTATGCTGATCACTTAGGTAACTGAGATGTAGTGCAGCTGATCGGATGAAGGACGTACTCTGGGTGGCGATTGCGTCACGGGTCTGCTGCGCAAATTAGGCAAGACCCCGCCGTTCACAATCCTCGCCGCTGCTGTCGTTTGTGTCGCGACTGTGAATTCAGCTGAGTCGTATATGAGGTAAGCGGTTGCGCCGCACCCGCTGAACTCATTATGAGTTCAATCCACGGTTCGATTGCTATACACACGCTAGGAATGATGTGTAATTTAGCTGATTTAATCGTTTGTGCTTACGATGCGTGGAAATCCACCGACTTTGTTGCATCAACAAAGTGTGTTGGATGGATAATCTACCGCTGTTTTCACAAGGAGCTTCCAGACTACATTTTCGCAGCATTACTGTTCACCCTTTTTCCCTAATTATACACCTTAAATCTTTCCGTTATGCAATTATGAAATTTCCTAATGTCGTCAGCATATGGACGTTACGAGATTATTGTAATGAACGCAATTTAACACGACAATCCAACAATCCCTACTCCCAAATCCATTCTATCGTGATTGAATGTTTTTATTGCATAATATAGAAAGAAAGTCACCCAAAGCGGCAATGCCTATGCAATTGTACAATGTACCTGCATCATGTGGCACCGCCTATTCCTAAACGGGAATACCTATGCATCCTCGAAAATATCTCGCAATAAGGGGTTGTTATCATCGGGTCGATAGGCCCTCTCACAGTGAATGATAGATGTATAACGCGCGGGATAACTCTCAATAGTCTAAATTCCTCCCTTGGAATGTGGTCTGTCTTCTGTAAAAGACCTGTGTGCATGAACTCAAACGCTGAAACAATGAATGGTCCTATCAGTCAGTTGTTTGCTTTGCTTCATGACGCAAGGAAGCACGAGGGCGGTTAACAGCTGATACTCGTTATCGCGAAGGTCGGTCAAGGCTGCTATCACGAGTCCGATATGCTGCGACTCTGAGCAGGTGCAGTGACTTTGACGCGTCTATTGATTTACTGTCATCAATGTTGTACGCTTTCACGGTCATACAGCCGAGGGAGGCACAGCGCGGCGGCGTCCGTCCCATCGCCTAAAACATAACCCATTATTGAAAAACAAGCATGGCATGACAGTGACTACTGCAGTGCGGAGTCCAGTGACCGTTTGCCGGACGCTGCAAATAGCCTACGTTAACCCCTGGCTAGGTTTCAGCGATGGGAAGTACCTATGAGGTCATTGGCATTGGTTCTGGTTACTGGTGCCTCGCGGCCGGCAGGAATGAGTAGTGGACAAGTTTTTAGAGGGTCCTATCACTGCCATGGTCCGGTCACGCTGGTCAGAACCTCGCAACAGTTGTGGTCAGTGGTCCCTTGTATCTGCATTGTTAGTGAATGTGGGTATTTCTCGACGGCATTGGTGCTGTGAAGGAAACGGCGATCTTGTGTGCGTATGAAAAAGTGATTAGAAGTCGTGGTGCAAACGGCGTACAGATTTTGTCAGCTTTGCTTTGAGGAGACTGGACAAGGTGTTCTATATCGATCGGTAGCAGAGTTTACGGAATCCGTGTCGTGAAGGACTCTTCAGGTCGTTGGTGTTCCATACTTGACACGCAACTCCAAGCACATCCAGGATGAATCCGCTGCGCCTTCCGCTTCTGTTCACGGCGATTCTACTAACCATCAATGTGACGTGTCAGAAAGTGCGGATAGGCGAGTGTCCTGACGTCGAGCCCGTCCTCAACTTCAACGCCACTGCCTTCAGCGGACTCTGGTACGAGAACCGCAAGTACGTCAACCGCTTCACGCTGGGCCAGAAGTGCGTCACGACCAGGATCAGCTCCAACGCCGACTCGGTGCTCGTTTTCGACACCCTGGGCTACGAGAAGTTCTTCAAACCGGTGCGCCTGCGGGGTTTCGCCCTCCAGACGTATGGCCCTGACGTTGGCGCCTTCTCCGTCGGAGTGCCGATCGCTGAGGACCTCAGCAACCCAAACCTGAATGTCATCGATATCGACTACGATCAGTACGCGATTCTGTACAGCTGCCGGACCAAGATGGGCGGTCTGAGCCACCTGGAGTGGCTGTGGGTGCTGTCTCGCACCCCGTACCTAACGGCGCCCACCCTCACCGCCATTCTTCTGCGCCTGTCCCACCACGGGTTTCGACCGCTGGCACTGCATCCCACCGAGCAGAACTTCTGTCCAGACAACATACCTGGCGTGTAGCGAGGGGTCATGTGTCGTTCAGTTGTCATAGGGATGCGCAGAGAGTCCAGAGGCACAGCTGTGGATTTGAACTAAGATATGGTTGATAATGTGGAACACGTAGGTATTGAATAAATGAATGCAATATGTCTGATTTGATAAGAAAGTGACAGTGTTACATCAGAAACAGTAGCTATCAATTGATATGATATCATAATCGCACAATGTACGATAAAACGCTGAATGAAGTTTGCCGGTTTGAACAGGACGAACGATGTGTTGGTTTCAAGTTCAAGTTCAAGTTCAATTTATTTTGTTTTCTCCAAAACATAAAAAGAAACAACAAAATAGTGGTTTGTTTCATACACTGGCACAAAACAAACAACCTTATCCGCTGCTACCTCTTGTAACCCCAATCCTTCGTCAGGACGAAATCCCATTCACAGTGAGGCCGTCCCCCACGAGTTCCACTGTCTAGTTCCATTTGCCGAAGCGTTACGACCATTTCGGCCACCCCTACAGTGCGTGCGGGGTCAATACCTGCCCTCCCTCCCCTCATTGTCAGTAGCCCACGCAGGCCCGACAGCACCCCTTCCAATCGATCGATCTCCGTTGGACGCCGAAATGGCGGTGGCAGGCCACCAACGCCAAATGGACCGCACTCTTAATTAGCGGTCGGCGCGGCGTAAGGTGTGGGGACTGGAGGTCTCCGGGTGGCTAAATCTGCATGGAGGCTAGTGGCTTTCGTTTGTTGTTTAGATTATTGTGCAGGCATCTGACGAACTCGGCTTGATGCTGTCTTTGTGATATTTCTTACGAGATGGCATCAGTAAACGAAAACCGTTTAAATAAATTTTGCTGGCTTGGATGATCATGGTTGTCTCTGAAGACGTTATTCAGCTCGATTAGAATAAGTCATGTATGATCGCTGTTCAGTTTAAGGTAATATCAGGTTATGTTTCAAATAGATTGCAAGGCGTCTTTTGCATGCATCAACGTATGCCAGCTCGGTTATCAAAGTGAGCGGCCATTACTATATACCTATGTATTTTGACGTCGAACGTTATCAGTTCCCAGAAATTGTGCATAACTATGATATAATGTTTACCGCCACTCAGCCGTTTTACATGCAGTTTCACATTTCCTTCTATGATATAACGTGGTTTTCAACAACTCTGTTATGCACTTTCCTCAGTTGAAGGAAGTGATGTTATTTTAACTAACCCGGAAAATATTTTTTGTTGCTTCGAGATTGTTGATGTCCAACTCTGTTGAGAGTGTCTCTACTGACGAACTTGGATTCTCGTCGTCTATTAGACTGGCCATTAATGTAAATAATGCACTTTATATATTTACTTTATTATATCACATTTACATCACTTACAATGATTTGTCATGTTAGGGTATTTTAATCTGTCATGCAAGAGATCTAAGGAAGATCAGAGGGATATAGGTACGACCCGTTTAACCGTTTTGACACAAACGCGTGTCGGAACGGTTCTCTGCGCATGCGGGCGCAGCGAACCGACTCGTTTCGTGCCCGATCCCCATCCCCACACCCCCGTGTCCCAGCGCCGCCCCGCCCTTGGCCCGGCCACACCCGTTTCAGTGACCTGCCATTATCACCCTGTCATTGTGCGACACGCCGATCCTCCACCGGTAATGGTAGGTGTCGAATTCCGTGACGTCACACGGGGTAGCGTGACGTCACAACAGGCAGGCGCGTGGAGGAATGTTCAGTTTGCGTTTTCGTTCCACCACTCTCTGATATGGGAGTGATGTAGGTATGCAGACGCATCACATGGTATGTTTAGAAAGCAGTCAAATATGTGTCAAAAGGAGATGGTTCGTGGGGTGTTGAATGTGGTACTTTTGCGGACTTCTCTTTGATTTAGTTCTGTCCTTTGGCACTTACCTAAAATCTGTAGAACGAGACAACTTGTTTTGACCGTGTTATGTATATTCCAACTGCTTTCGTCGGTATCATAAAAGCCTCGGTCAATGATGTTCAATAAATCCACGTTATTCACATGTGACGAATAGCATTCCAGCATACAGCTACTCCTCTTGTGCCCAGCGTATATGTATTTTCCACTGTAATTACCGAATGGTTCTAGAGTTTACTACACAATACAGGAAGAGGAAAATACCTGTTACTTGTTCAACACAATGAAAATAGCGGGAACTTCCACAGGCAGTAGGTACCCGCGGTAGCAGAAAGGCATGTCGGCAAAGCATGAAACAGTGCCTCTGTAACCTTTCGTCCAGTTGCTTCAGTGCGGACCGCCATATCCCGACTTGTCTCACTGTTTTACGGTCTCACAGCTCTAGCACCGGACAGTTGTATTTACCATGAAAATATCCACTTTTCCTTCTATATTTTTAGAGGCGGACCCTGTGAACTCGTATTGGTGTGCCGAACGAATCCGTTTCGTCACTGGATTGGTATCTAATACCTCCACCTAGCACCCATGGGAGCATATCACACGGCGGTTTTTACCGTGATACATTTGAGCCGATAAGCACCTGGATCACGACGCGAAATCCAAGGTCGGAAATGAATGTTTTTGGTATCACGACTTTCCTGAAGAAGTGGCTTATTGACTCGCCTTTGATCGCCACCTGAGGCACGCTTAAATAATGCTCCTAATAATACGCATTGATTGATAAGAATTGGTTTATCAGCACAAGCCAAAGGATACGCCATCTAATGCATCTGAGACTTCTCCCGCACAAAGGTCGCTATGGTGCTGCACAAATAACTCTGTCCATTGAATCCCGAGAACGGCCAAACAACGCCATTGTGCACTTACCCACTTGTGTCGATGTCGTTAAATAAATTGTTTAATTGATCAATGCACTGTTACATGTATTCCACCAAATAAAATGCCTGCCACGCTCGATATAGACCACGTTTCCATGGGCACTCTGATCCAACTTACCAAATTAAAATCGTATATTTTTTCTGGAACTATTCGTTGACTATAAGTTAAAGTGGATTAGCTATATATAACCACTTAATCCCTTATTTCCATTCACATATAGCCTCCAAGTATACCGGATTAGCTTATCTACTTTAACTGATCCGGATCACCAGTGCCCATGGAAACCGGGTCACAGGTAGGTATGTAGCGCAAGCCGAGGCCTAAATTGACTTTATGAACATTAACATTATTAAGCTGTGCATTGATTGTGTCCACGTATTCGATGCTTATAAAACTTTTTCTTATTTTACTAAACATATAGTAGCAAGTAGCAACCATAGTTGCAACCTCTACATTCTATTGCTAATAGATGATATAATAGGCTGTATAAAGGGGGAGGGGGGCACTGACGACTTTTGGTCCCATTCTTTCCATGCAACGCCAGTGGCGCGGGAACAGGGGGGCTAGCGGGGGCTGAGCCCCCCCCCAGCTTTTCGGCGGGGGGGCTCGTAATGTATTTGAGCCCCCCCCCCCCCCCCAGCTGGAGGAATCGAAATCGGAAATCTACCAACATAATTTCATAGATTCATACATAGGCGCGGGAACCGGGGGAGGGGGCAGTGGGGGAAGCTTGCCCCCACAACTCTGCGGGCGTGGGGGCGGTGCCCCACAACGTTTCATGAGGCCAGGAACCGTTGGGCAGCTTGTCTTCCCCAAATTAGGGGTTGTGGGTCACAAAGGAAGAAAGCATGCAAGTGAAAAATCCACCTATTTCACTGGCTCGGCAACTCATTTGGCAGATTAACCCGCGCCCTGGTGGGGGGGCTATTTTTTGCCCCCCCCCCCTCCAAACTTTTCGATATATCTCCAGAATCGCTGCGCCGATCGTCACCAAACTTTCAGTACCTCCCGGATATCAATTTTACACATTGTGACCAAAAATTTTTCCAAAGGCTATGATAGGTTGGCCGGAAATGACGTCAGAGTGACCTCATGTTCTGCCGTTTTCGACCCCAAAAAAAGTGTTTCGCGGGAAGAGCTGTCAGGCCTATAGCTTTGCAAATACAGAAAAACGATAAAGAAATAAAAGCTGTAGAATTGACAGGGCTACAAAACTGCCATCTCCGATTTTTGAAATTTTTGGATTTTGACCCCAAAAATTAAAAAATATATTTTTTGAATATAATAGCCGAAAAATCCAAAAAGTTTTTTGAATTTCGCAAAAACCGGAACATATGTGATAGTCCCTACCATCTTCTATCTACATACCAAATTTGAAATTGATTCATCTTTTTTTGGCGAATTTATAGCGAAAAAACTGTTCAAAATTGATGACATCAAATTTTCAAACTCAATTTTTAGCAATTCTAGACACCGTAGCGCAAAACAAAGACCACCATTAGACTCCCCGTGACGAGCTGCATCGAATCAATACCCATTTTATGCAAAACTATCAGCTTTAAAATTTGACCTTTTTTTACCTGACCTTGACCTGACCTTCACCAGAAAGTGACCTAAGCCGTACCTGATAGTCTTATAACTAACACCATTGAGTTGGAAATGAAAAATTGGCCATAAAACATGCATCGCACAACCTTAGTACCTAAAGTTAGGTTCATGTGACCTGACCTGTGACCCTTGGTGACCTGACCTGTGACCTGACCTGGTAATGTCAGTGACCTCTTATAGCAACATATGTAATAGGCAACTGACACCCTATCGCTGATTCTCGACAAAATGCGTTTTCTTCGGTGTTATATAGCGCACTTCCTAGATGACCCGTGAACGGTGAAACATTTCATCTTTGACCTGACCTGTGACGTCATCGGTGACCCCGAGGTCAATGTAATTTGGGTTCCTTCGACAAATTTGACAGGCCTTTCGAACGCCGTTTGAATTTTGCGGATCCGTCCAGTAGTTTCGGAGATACGAGGGGGGGGGGGCAAAAATAGCCCCCCCCCCACCAGGTCGCGTTATAAACAGACCCCACCAGGGCGCGGGTTAAAACCTTTACTCCAGGTTGCCAAAACGGTAGTTTCTTCACTCAGCTGAGACGGAATACCTCACTTTTTGAAAATATTTTCGTTTTTTTTTTGTTGAAAAGGTCAAGGTCTAAAAAATAAGTGGCCTAAAACCGGTGAGAAAACTAGATTTGGGGGTACCCTAGGCTGATTTCTATTATGGTTCAGCCCCCCCCCCCCAGTCTGGAAGAAGT